GGTAGGCACATGGGGGGGGGTACCATATATATATATATATATATGTGTGTGTGTGTGTGTGTGTCTGTGTGTGTGTGTGTGTGTCTGTGTGTGTGTGTGTGTTCGTGTGTGTTCGTGTGTGTATATACATAAACGATAAAAGTATAAATATATCTATATATAAAGGATATGTTTATTTGCCGCTCAGTGTTCTGTTTGACCTGAAATCCCCTCACAACTTGTTATGAAGTTGATAGAATAGCTAGAGCCCGGACAGTAGGAGTAGCAGAAAGAAGCACCAGTAGCAGTGGCAGTAGCAGCAGTAGTCTTGATATGAAAAGGGTGAGCTGCATGAGTTGTTGTGTCCGGCTTGTTCTATCGCTTCTCTTTGCACTTTCCTGCTGCTTACCGCTGCTGGAGCCCAGTACTCTTTAGTAAGGATGCCTCTTTTGACGGGAAGTTACTATGATGATGACGCGCTTGATGCTTCAGAAGCACTCAGGGACTTGGGAATTGCTCCTCCCATGCATATGAGGACGAAGGGCTTCGGTCGTTGATGTCCTGTCCTGGGTTCCGTGACCTCCACAGCATTTGAAAAGGAGTAAGCCGCTCGCGATGCCAACAACGTCTCTGACCGAGTGCCCACAAAGACACAAACACGCACGCACACACACACACACACACACAAAACGAAAAAACGAACACAACACACACATGCATAGAAACACACAAAGACAAACACTCTCTCTTACTTGCTCGCTTGCTAGCTTGCTACAAGTACGAAGTTTGAGGAGGGCCTCTCCCACTCTCGTGCATTCGAGACATACGGGGCGCATGCATGTGTGCTCTACCTGATTCTACCTACTATATGCCCGTCCTCCTGGCTGGTGTGGATTCGGTCCAGCTGACGGAGCAGGTCTCGGAAGACCGCTTCACGCCTCGAGCGACGTGATTTCCAGATTTGTCGAACCTTGTTCGGATGTCGATTGCGACTACGCTATAGGAGCCTCTTTCCTGCTGTATAAAAAAACATCTTTCAGAATTTATACTACTCTTCTCGGCTCATTCTCCTGCATCTCCAGACTTCCAAGGCCAGGACGGTTCTTCAGCAGTCGGCGAAGTGTTGTTATCCAGATCACGACTCAATGTGCCAACTTCGAGGCCATGGGATTCCATGGCACGAGGTTGGTTTTAGCCCCACGAACTCCACACTACGGCGCTGCCACCACCCCCCCCAATACGTCAGCCCCACAGCCTGAAGCCCTCACCGTTGGAATCACAGCATCCCCGCACTTCCGCCATGGGCTCTTGACGAGTCTATGCCTATGCCCCACCCTGTGGGTGGGCGCTGGAAAACCTCGGGCCACACAGCTGCGACAAGAGTTCCCGTGGAAATGTGGCTGCACTTGAGACTTCGTGCTTTGGATCAACCCAAATCTTTCGGCGTCACAACACTGTCCAGCCACAATGGCAAGCTGTGGCAATTGACAGTGTCGTATCAACAATGCACCTCGAACACCACAACACAGCCTCGATACCGAAGCTCACCAAAAAATACCAAAACCACATGAGCCCAAAGCCTTTTCTCACTTAGACCCTGCTGTTGAATGTAAAAGGCAGCCGTCGACGTGAACCGCCGAAAATCGCACTAAGCACGGGATCCAAAGCTGAACAGCATACTTCAACTCCCCAAGCGTGGAGAATCCTTCGCACTTGACCCCGCCAGCCCCGCCAAGCTCGATAGCTGCCATGCACATCCAAAATGCCCCAAAAAAACGCTCTTAGTAAGCTCAGCCCCCCTAGGCTCCAAATCCTACACCCTCCACTCTAAGCCCTCTGCGCCCATCCCCCAAAAGCCGTCGAAGCAACCTGCCCAGAGTAGCGAATGACCACAGGGCTCCAGTCAGCTGGCGACTTTGGAAGTTTGGCGCCTGGAGCTATTAGGGTGCGTTACGTGGCTTTTCGAAGTTTACTTAGGGCTTTATTCCGGGTTTGTTGCTTTTGTTTGGGCTTGGGGTTTCAAGCCTGTTTCGAGTTGGGAGATGGTGTTTAAAGCTCGGGGGTGGAAGGGGCTCGAAGCTTTCGGAACGTTTTGGGCATAGCTTTTGGTTCTTCGGGCTCGGATGCCTCAGAGTTTGAAGGGATCTGGATGCACGGAGTCTGGTGGCGCGTCTCGGAGCTCAGCCAGCGACGCCCCGCATTTGGGATGGTGCCATCGTATCGTATCACTTCGAAGAGCGCCTACACCCTTTTGCATCCGGGCTTGGAGAGTCGGCGCCTACACCCTAAACCCTGAAACCCCAAAGGCCCCTACTTAGAAGACAAGGTGTGCAAACAAGGATCTTCTTTGACAGGTTCGCTTGATTGTGGCTTCTAATCGCCGTGGGTGGTGGCATGTGGCGTGTTCTTGCCTGCATAGCACAGGTATTGTCTTGTATGGTGCCAAGTTGCATTATACCATGTCATGTTGTTTATATATGTCATGCTGTGTTTTCTACATTGTTCTATATGCTATTGTGACCCCGGGGCACCATATAACATCGGCGATGCCTGCATGTTGCGCTCCAGATGGCTGAGAACCTCGTGCCACCGTGGGTCCTCGAAGAGCCTGGCTTTTGGCTTTAATTAGGAAGAGATCCTTTGAAGGGCCACTATCACTATAACTAATTACTACTTTAAGGCGCTAAGGGCTAGTATTTGGGCCCTAGTAATAAGAGGCTTTCGGGGTATAGCAAGGTAAAACTGTATGGGCTTAGTCTCAGCCTGAAGGTTCCTACACTTGACCAGTTGCGCAAAATCCCGGCTACTGCGAGAGGCAACAAATGCAAACTGTATTCTGCCGTATTCGTACTGGCCAGCGCCGCAGATAAGTAGATCGCGGTCCCTGCTTGCCTTGATCTGGCAAAGAGAAAAGCAACATGGCCAATAATCCTGATGTTTGCATCATCAGAATAGGGCTTGCGGGGTGTATTCTCTTTGTATTTATAAGAAGCCCTAGGGATCAGAATTACTAGCCATTTGAGAGCAGCCGTTTTGCCTGTGGTGAGGCGCCTCTCTGTGCCACTTTGCTAGCCGATGCCTGATGCCGAAGGTGCGAGACGAGGCAGTACGGGACATGGTGGGGTATGCGGATACTTTCATGTACCCTGGTATATCAATGTATAATGTATATCACGATGCTTTGTCCTACGGTGAGACAAGGATCGAGCATTCTCCAAGCAGCAGTGGCATAAGAAACGGGTGTAGTCGGACTTGAGAGGACGGTGTACCGCACCATCGAATGGCTCTTACAGTTTTACTTCTTCTGACAGTCGCTCAAGATGTTTGTCATTGATCCCGGCATGCACCACCCAAGGGAGAGAACAATCTTGATTTATTTTGCTGGTATGAACATTAGCTACATACCGGCATATGTTATTTTCAATCTACTGCTAATGATGCGAGAAGGTCTGCAGCCGCGATGCATGGCAGTCGAGGTGTTGGTGCCGTCGAATTCAGCTCCGTAGGTGCCAATGAGGTTGAGCACCTGCAGCAACGGATTCCATTGGGGCATGCCGCGACACCACGGCTCTTCCGGAGACTACATCTAAGCCGTAAATTGTAGGCCAAACGAATCTTTCATCTCAAGCGTGGAAAGCCTCTGGCACGGAGGTGGTGGCCGCCAGCCAATCGTTCAACGTCCTGGAGGGCTTGTCCGGACGAACCTGGGCTCCAGTCTGCTTGGGAAGGATAGCTACGCTTGTCGCAACATGCCGGACCAGTGCATAGCCAGCTAACCGCAGCGCAATATTAGAAAACTATGACCACCTACAACACGTAGGATGACGACGAGTTTAAAGAAATCGCATCCTGACCGGTAAAACGGCGGAACCAGGTGTCAGGCCACTACTCGCTCTATCGAGTCCTCCCAAAGTTTCCAGCTAGGGTTGGCTGGGGCACGAGAATATCAGTGCTACAGTGTAAGCTCGGAAACGAGGTCGTGCCAGAATCAACTCTCATCTCACCCTTGAGACTGTAGACTATGGCACGCACCAAGAAGGTATTCTAACTGCTCAGGACCATTTATTTGTTGCTCCAGTGGATGAGCTGTTGTGCCCATCTGGCCACGGTCTGAGTGGCTGAGGCCCTGGCATGGTACGGTAGCTTCGAGGAGACGATCCTGGAAGGAGCAAGCGCTTTTAGCAGTCCATGTAGCAACGAGGTTACTATACGGTCAATTTAAGGCGGCTTTCCGGGAACTATGTATATATATATATATATACACACACATGTGCATACACACGCGCCGTGGACAGATGGCTACTGTATATACGTGTGCTCTACTATTGCTAAAAGGCTGTTCGGAAGCCCCATGAGATCCGCAGAGAAAAATAAATGCTCCCAACCTTCACCGCAGGACAACGATGCCTTCTTGTGACCTTATGGCAGCCTCATATTAACTGTTATCAACTGTTGCAACACTGTACTGCGTAACCTTACAGTCACAGACTACTATGTAACCTCGTTTGCTATAGTAACATTAGCGGAACCTTGCAAATAATAGCCATATAGTAACCATATGGGTTACTACGGGAACCTAATAGCCTAATAGTAACCTCGTACTAACTTTGAGTAACCATAGAGTGCGCACATGGAAACTGTACAGTAGTGCAACTAGTGCTGCTGCTGCTGCTGCTGCTGCTGCTGCTGCTGCTGCTGCTGCTGCTGCTGCTTTGCGGGGTGCTAATTGCGAGGACTGTGGCGACGACCAGCATACCAACGACGGACGACAAAAGCAACTACTGTTACGGCTCCTCTTCTGCCAAAACGACACCAAACACAACAGCAACAACTAAACCCAGCAACAATCACAACTGTAATCGTGATACGGACAGCCACTGCCAGTACGATTACTATTGCTACTTCCTGGCTCCTGGCTACCAGCTTCAGTAGCTCAATATAAATGAGTGATAGTCGATGGAGCCGCTGTGGTGGCACGATCGCGCTTCATCTTGCTGGAACGAAATCGATTCGTGAATTTCTCTGCCGAGCCTGTGCGCAAGCAGAGAACAGTTTGTGCAAACCCGGCCTGACAAAGTCGCTGTGTGGCGTCCCAGGCGGGCCGTAAGCATAGAAGGATTGGTTGGCAGAGTGGACTGACCTGGCTCATCAAAACGGACATGTCGCAGTCTGCTTGAAGCCCAACTGCTTCCTGCATGAGCATAACCTCTCTTGTCTAGGGATGCTCCGACGCTCACACTGACACAATGAAGGCACGGCTTCACGCATCAGGTTCGACACAAACGAGGGGAGGACGATACATGAAACCAAACCGAAAACAAAAACATACTTCTCCGTGGAGACTTGAGGGCCTTCACTTTGGCAACGATCCGGATGCACCCAGTACAGTTCACTGCCTGCCATATGACCCCTCGTGAACTAATCTGACTATCGGATTGACCAGATCATATAATTGCTGCTGTTAACTCCATGGTTGTGAGGATCTTGAAGACGAAGCATGCAGATGGCATCACAGAATGTGCTCCGCCAGGAAGAGACTTTGAACGACAGCGCGTAGCCAAGACGCCGTTTTGGTGCCGGCAGCTCGGCAGGCGAGCCGTGCAAGGCTTGTCCATTGGCCGCTGTACTCCCAGCACCAACCTGCAAAGGTGAGCGGCTGTAGTTCACCTCACCTGCCCACCTGGGAACCTCCAGTCCGCCCCGGCCTTCTCCTGCCGCGGTGCCGCCGATGGCACAGCCGGGGACCGGACGTCCTGACAGGCAGCTTCACATGATCGGGCATGTCGAAGACAGTTATAGACTATGGGTTCGGAAAAACATCTTCAGGGCAAAGCGGCCATGGCTAGTGAGGAGTAAACCTGGCAAACCTGGATGGCCTCCGGAAGCGCAGGTGTGGCGCCTGGAGTCCAGCCTTCGTGGGACCGTCGGGCTGCAAGGCTGGCATGGTGCCTGGGCCTATGCTATTGAATGTATCTCGATAAAACAGCTCACAGGCACCACTAGCTGCATATGAAAGATATCAAGCCAGCGCAATCCGGGGTCCGTGCCATCGCGGATCTCGCTCTGATCCTTAATCATCTTGACGGAATGTGGCGTTTACCGGGGCTCATGCAAGTAGTCTTCGGGTTTCGGTACGATGTAACCAACGAGGCTGCAACAGTGAGCTCTTTTCGCGCGTGCCGCGCAACGATGTCCTAGAACCTAGGGCAGAGTCAGCTGGGATTTAAATCTTCCCTACAGCTTTGGTCTACCTGAGTACAGCCGCCCGTCTTCAACGTGCTGGAACTTGCCATACTTCTCTACGTTCGGGTTGGTGCCGCTGACATGACGTCCAACGAAACCGTCCCACTTGGACAGCTCGTCTTTCGCGATGGTGATCAAGTGCACCATGTCCGGACCGTCCGCCACACGCAGAGTGCGCATGCCTGTGTACCTCATATGCTATCTGAAGCCCAGGCTTCATTCCACCCCAAACTGAGAGGTGGGACTGGCAATGAGATGTCGAAGAGTAGCTGAATACGGCCCAGGAACATGCTAGCCAGGTGGGAGTCCTGCGAGACCCCATGGGCGCCATGCAGCTGTATAGCGTCGTCGATAATCTTCCTCAGCAAGTCGTAGAGACCGTCGGCGGGTACTCTTGCATTCGTGACATGTCGGTGCCCGAGAGTACAAGACTATGGCATGTAGATTTCATGAATTCATGTAAATATTACCTCTTTGTGCATATGTTCATGTACGTGCTTATCGGCGGATTCTGAGTGTTCGCACAAAAAACACAACTAACTAGGTACACACGAAACAACCACATCAACATTGGAGTCAAAGTCTCCCTGGACCCTGCAGGCACCCAAAACAAAAGCAGATTCTCAAGACTGCCCCAGGGTTTCAGGGCGGCGCGCGGAGCTGCTACCTTGATCATGGCGATATAGCTCTTGGCGGCCTGTTGGGCTGAGTAGGAGCCGTTTTATGGCTTGGGTCTATAGGCTATCACACCAGGCTAGCCCCATCAAGCCAAGAGTGGCAGCAAAGAAGAGGAGATAAACTCAAGTTTTGAGGGTAATTCTGGCAGTTGGAGTCCTCCAGGAAGTCTTGACACCGAAGGGCTTGCTACCATCATCTCAAAAAGAGCAAGCTGATTGTAGCAGCGAAGAAATTGAGGCCGCAGATCCCACTGAAGCACCCCGAAGAAGCTGAAGGAGTCAGCACCCGTTCCTTGAAACCCTGCTCATCCGCCACCACCGCTGCCAAATAGCCTGAGGATTTCTGTTTCTAGAGACTTGAGCTACACAAACTGAAAGATGGAGAGCTTGCCAACTAGAGCAACATCGACGCTTGAAAACCCCTCGCCAAGCAGGCGATAGCCGTTTCGGCCCGAACCCCCCTCCACGCGCAAGGCAACATCCTTGAAGCCTCCGGATGAGACCGCCGCAGGTGTCTGTGGCATAGAGGCCGCAGGCTTTGCGCTACCAAAGGATGATAGGGGAAGTGCAGGTCATCGGCTTGGCTTCGAGCCGGATGGTTTGGGGCTCTCACTTTCGATGGAAAGCAATCTGTTCAGGGCCCGAAGGGCTATCAATATTATGAGTACGCTGTGCTGCAAGATTTTCTTGCCCGACGACCTGGTGAACCAGTAAACTCAAACACGAGCAGTTTCGAACCCCAGACCTCAGTGTGGGGCAACCTGAGATACTGCACCTTAAGCTGCGAAAGCCTGCAGAAGCTTCGGAACTTCAATCCTCACAGCCTCTGATCTGGGAACTCCTCAATCCTGTTAAAACTGCACTAGGTTTCTAGTCCCGTGAAAAATGCCAAGTGGCAAAATTGCGTCCGCTGGACTTGAGAAGTGTCCCTCCCTCCCACTCGCCCTCCTTCTGCCCATCCTACACACTCAGACTATTATTTTTGCGTGCCATGCAAATTAAAGATGCACTCCGCTTCTTCCTGCCAGGACGAGAAGTGCTTCCAATCAAGATAACACGGGCCAAGCCACAGAGCTGCCGGCACTTGGTTATCTCGATGCGAGCCTTTCGAGGGAATCCGTGCTCAACGGTGCCGGGTCGAAGGGCTTCAGGATTAGAAGCTTAAGCCGAAGACCGGTGCTTCGCAAGCTTCGGCAGCAAACGCTAATGATACGAAGAGTTTAAAGCGTGGTCCAAACAGCGTTTCCCATGGGTCGACGGCTGGCACCGGATAAAGGGGACTGAGTGAGCATGGCCCAGCTGGGGTTACCTTGTTTTACTTCTCCACAAACGGTTGAAATTCTAGAGGCCAAAAAGGCAGGCCACCCACATCTGCTTCTGGCACATCTAACACCACCTCTACCTTTTGACCCACTTTCCTGTGTCGCTTGAGTTGGGATATCGGTATTGGTGGCTTCTCGAGTTTTAGCTGTGCCGCCGATGCAGGACACCACAGCAGCAAATTTTCCAAGGCATAGACTTCTTGGACGAAGCTTTAGCAAGATGTACTAAAAGTCCAGCGTTTACGGTTCATGCAGGTGCGACTGAAGCTTAGGCTGCAGCCGCAAACCCAAATTACCCGCCCTCTGGGTTTAGAGTTTAGGGGTTCAGGGTTCAGGCTTTACGCTCTCACAACTCGGACAAGCCAGGCGAGGATCCATGTGCGCGCAGTCGGTGTGAAAAGCTGAAAGCTTCGGATGCTTTCTTTAGGGGTTTAGGGTTTAAGTAACATTACAGCGTTGCCTTGCATTAGACTCTTCCCCAAGCACCTCGGCAATGGCCATGCGTACAGCGTCCTTTTGCGCCAGCAACTTGCCGAATGCCTTCCGCCGGTGAGCACGATCCACCTCATGGGTGCCGGTCGGCTGCAATGGTTGTAAAGGACGCAATAAGAAGAACAACACTAATAATACTAGTAATAGAGTCTAAGGCCTCCTGGTACTTAGAAGTCAAGGGTGCGAACATCCTCGGTAGAAGACACTCCCATTGGGCACGGTGATCGTGCGAACATGGCGTCCCGACGTGTCTGCACCACTGAACTCCCACCCCGTCCTAAACTGGGCCATCCTCAGACCCAGCTCGACACACATGTCAAACAACAAAAAACCCATACACATATGATCTTGTGTGTGTGTGTGCAAGATGATTGCTAACTCGCCTCGGGAATCGCAACAGCTCGTCGCCACAGTCCAATCTGTGCAGTAGACAGCAACGTTCACAATGATTCTGCATCATCACTATTTCATCATCGTTCAGTTCAGATTCACGACGCTCATCATCACAGACATCAGCACTAGTTATCACCATCACCATAGTCAATGTGCAGCCCGAGTCGCCATGGCGGCCAGTGCCAGCTCAGCCAAGCCCAAGGACCTTGGCTCTCGCAGCATTTTGTAGTAGTGTTTCTTATGTGAGACAAGCAACAGCAGCAGAAGTTGCAAACATTCACAAATCTCAGGATGTCAGGACAAAGCGGTCACACAAGCTTCCGAGTCTTCTAACCTTGGGCCGAGTCGCCGCATGCAGTGATGTATCCTCCCTGGTCCTAGGCGGCTCTGGGCGATCTCGAAACCGCGGCCTTCGCCCAACAACATGTTGGACCTGATGCAGTCAGCGCAGGAGGAAGATCTGGAAGAAGGCCCAAGAGCAGAGCTAGTCACAAATCCTCACAACCAGGTTTGGGATGCTCATGAAGATACCGAATCCAAGCTCGGTCCTTCTTGCCCTAACAACTTCTGGGAAAGTTACTTCAAGGACCTTCTGTTTGGTGGTTCAGGGCTTTTGCGGATCGGACTTTAGGATTTTGGCGTCAGGGCTTTTGGAGTTTTCCCCCTAAACCCCCCCGGTAGCAGTCAGAGTGGCTTCGGGACGCGCACATTCTCGAAGACGATCTCGGCATGGTCATGCTCTTCACCAAAGACTGCCAGGGGCCGCAGGATTTTCACACCCGGCGTGTCTTTGGGCACCAGGATCCTGGGAGCCAGGATTTGGGATCTGGCGCAATGGGATTATGCTTCTAATATAAGACGATACTTTTTAGTCTCTGGATGTCTCTAGAGAGAATATGTGCTACTACGTGCTATGCTATAAAGTATCTAGTGGTCTGTATATATATATATATATATATATATGTGTGTGTGTATATATATATATATATGTTGAAACAAATAGGGACTTTGTTGCAATGGCCTAGAGCCTAAGGGGCTTTCCTGCTTGGAAACGGGAGAAGCTGATGCCAAATGCCGACTCATTGTCATGGACTGCTGCTTGTGGAGGGGGCCGCTGAAGCTAGTGCGGCCCAGAACGACAAAGACTTTGCATTCGGGCCGGATTGCCCCTGAAATCCACCACTTGTGGCCGTTGATCAGGTAGTGGTCGCCATCGGGTTCAATCTTTGTGCAGATATTCGTGGCATCACTGGAAGCTACGCCAGGCTCCGTCATGGCAAAAGCTGATCGGATCTCGCCGTTCAGCAAAGGCTCCAGCCAGATTTTTTTCTGCTCCTCGGTGCCAAACTTCTCCAAGACCTCCATGTTGCCTGTGTCCGGTGCAGAGCAGTTCATAGCCAAGTTGGCCACGCCGTTGGTGCCAAGGATCTCTGCGATTGGGGAATACTCCAGGACGGAGAGCCGGGACACCTCGGGCAGGAAGAGATTCATGAGGCCTCGGGCCTTGGCCTGCTGCCGTAGCTCACTCAGGACCGCTGGCTCTGGGCACTGCGTCGGATGCGACACGGTTTGTAGTAGATCCCTCTTCTGCTGCGAGTACGTGGGCAGGGCGGGGTTCACGACGTCCTGCACAAAGTCGATCACCTGAGCCCTCACTTCGAAGAAGCGCGGCGTCAACTTCTCTTTGTAGGGCAGCAGGGCATCTGGAAGCTCGGGGCCCATAAGCTGCATGGTCAGCAGGAAACTACAGGGCACTCCAAGAAGTGATGCAGCTATGGCTGCGGTGAATAAAACGAAATCATGCTGCTCCTGCTGCTCTGCAGCGACATGCGTGAGACGCTGCCCACAAGTAGATCAAATGGTTTCCCAGCTCCGGGATTTGCATGCCCGCCCCAACAGGAACGTTACCTTCAGGCCCTCTGCAGCAAGGCGCAAGCATATACTCATACTTTCAATGCCCCTGCATAGACTCGAACGTCCAAAGCTCTGGACTGAAACCATCACCCGAAGAGCCAGAATCAACGCATTTATCATGCAAGCACGGAGCAAATAACTCCAAAGGCCCCCATAAGGACGACAACTTACGTTACAAAAGTTCAATGCGCATCCAAAAGAGTAGCAGCACAAGCTGTAAACTTTCAGCTCCTTCGTTGACACAAACTACTCAATGCACGGCCATGACCAAGCTTTCTTGTAAGCATAACCCAAACTGATGACAAAGACCCTAAATCCCTAATGCAGGAGCCTTAATAATTGGAATGGGGGTGTTGGGCTCTTTCAAAATACAATTATAATAAGGACAAGAAGAGGCCCATAAGTCTGGCACATAGGCAGCTGCCACCTCCTTGGGGCTGTACCTGGCGGCTTGCTTTGAGGAGATCGAGTTGGAGTCTGGCGCCGGATTCTTTGGGCCGAGCCTTTGGAAGCTTTGGGTTTGGCTCCCGGCGTTTCAAAATGTGCTGAAAGTGGCTGTGAGTTGTGAAGGCAAGAAGTCATGACCCGAAGCGATGCAGCCTCTTTCGGACATAGCGCTAAACTTGAACGTCGCCCCGAAGCCCCTACGCCCCAAGCTGCGTAATCGCATGCCGGCCGGACCAAAGCCGTGAGTCACTCGTACGATCAAAGCTGCCATAGTAGGAGCTCCTGAGTTCAGGAGCAGCCTTCCTAAAAGCTGAGCAGCAGCTTCATCAGCACCTTCTCTTAAAGCTGGGGGCTCAAGGCAGACATCTTGCCTAATATCAGGGCCTTGATGATGACAACAGTGTTATGGTGACAAATCAGGAACCCCAAGGAATAGTGTTAGACAGTTTTCAGACCCCCACATTAAGAGCCTTCCTGCGAAGCCAGGCTCTGCAGTGTGTCTGAGGCGAGCGCATGACATGCCGCCGGCAAGGGCAAAAGCAAGAGCGGTGTTTGCTTTGTTTTTCAACTGAAGGTTTGGTAAGTCTCGTAATTGAGCCCGGCTAGCCCCAGGCCCCATGACTTTTGCCTTCCCTTCCTATCTTCCTCATGTCGAGTGGAAACCTCGGACATCCCCAGCACGCAGGAGGCCAAAGGCCGCGAAGCTTTCTAGGTGTAGCATTCCAGCCCTAGAAAGGGCGAAGTCTTGATGCCAGTCTCTTCTTGATTCATATCCAGCCGAAAACCTCCTCAGCACAGGGCTTCCGAGCAGGGGCTGCGTCTGCAGAATGTGGGCGCCTAGAAACACTGAGAGGCTGAAAGAGGATGCCGCAACAGCCTCGGAACGACCCTGAGGCTTTATGTCTATCCTAGGAATGACTGGGTAGCAGCCACAGAGTTTTTTCTGTGAGAATCCTGCGAGGTGCCTTGTAAGAAGTCCTGTTGTAAGGTTTGCTGGGAGCTCCGTGGGCATCTTTTTCCGCGAGAAGCCTGCCAAGTTTACTCAGACGCATCCAAACACTTCCTAAACCCAACGACTCCCTGAAGCAGAAACTCACAACCCTGAAGCCTAATTACGTTCAAGCCCAAACCCTCAAACCATCCAACCCCCCAAAAAAACGTGAAACTCCCTCTACCCTAAGCAGCCCAACCCCTCTAAACCCTCCGAGGCCCACGACAAAAACCTACTTCGCGGCCAACTTTTCTCGCGGTTCCCGCGGCTGTCGGCTTTGAAAGCCGAGGACCGACTCGGGCCTTCGAGACCTCCACGGGGTTTCGACGAAGTACATACATACATACATATCTATCTATCTAGCTATCTATCTATCAGTTTAAGTATCTCTCTCTCTACCTATCTATATATATATATATATGTGTGTGTATATATATATATACATACATACATACATACATACATACATACATACATACACACATACATATGCACATACATTTGTACGGTTCAGGGCTTGTTTAGGCTTTAAGATTTGTTGAGTAAGCTTCGTTTTGGCTCCGGCATGGCAGTCTCTAGAGATTCTGCATGGTTTATAGGCTTAGTAAGGTTTATGAAACGGCTTATGGGTTCAGCTTTTGTAGGTAGGTAGGCAGGTAGGTAGGTTGGTAGGTAGTAGGTGGGCAGGGAGGCAGGGAGGCAGGGAGGCAGGCAGGTCGGCAGGTCGGCCGTCGGTAGGTCGGCAGGTCGGCAGGTCGGCAGGTCGGCAGGTCGGTAAGTCGGTAGGTCGGTAGGTCGGTAGGTCGGTAGGTCGGTAGGTCGGTAGGTCGGTAGGTCGATAAATCAGTAGGTCGGTAGGTCGGTAGGTCGGTAGGTCGGTCGGTAGGTAGGTCGGTAGGTAGGTCGGTAGGTAGGTAGGTAGGTAGGTAGGTAGGTAGGTAGGTAGGTAGGTAGTTCATTACTTAATCACGTACCTCGACACAAGACATACAATCTGCAAGAAACACACATGAGCAAATAGATGAACAAACACACGAACAAGTCCGTAAACATACACACGTACGCACCCCCTCCTACCCTCAAAAGAAGAAAACCAACTCTACATAACGTATGTGCAGTTGCAAAATAACATGTGTGTATGTGTATAAATATATGTATGCATGTGTGTATATACTTGATGTACATAGAGCTGTGCTCAAATTCTTCGCGCCTCCTGCTATCAGAACATGAGCTGTGTCGCTGATGCCATTGGCTATAGTGGCTATAGAATGCGCTAGCACTTCAGGTTGGACTTGCGCTGACTATCACTCAGGCTTTAAATCTGCTCCGCGCTGCTACTTCTAGTTGACATCAGGGCTGGCATCGTCACATATGCCCTACAGTTACTTGTCTTTCTGCATGGTTACCGTTGCTGTTGAGAGTATTGTGGCCACTGTCGGTATCTATCGCAGCTCGTGACCGTCTGCTCGCGCGGTGACAAGCAAAAAGTAGTGCGCGACGCGAATTTCGACTGCTTTACGCCTCACAAAATGTCTCCTTACGCTTAGGCGTAATGCAGCTTGTAGAGGTGCACTTCGCTGTGAGGTCAAGGACGCCACTCTTTCAGGGTGCGCCCTGACCTCTGCGAGATCATTATCGGGCAACAGCTAGGTGCGATAGGTGCCGGAGTCTTTGCATGCTGCGCCAAGGCAAGTCGAACACAGACTGGGCCTGAACTCTCATTCCTAGGCCGTTTTTAGGTGGTGCAGCAAGCAATGAGTTAATGGGAGATTACAACGGCTCGAACTCGGATTACTAGCCATGCTCATATTGGCACCATCCCTTTCAGCACGATTCGTGTATTCACCTTCATACTCCGTGATTCGACTGCGCAATACGAATACGACGAAACAGAGTAGCTGAGTCGCTCTCGAGCTCACCTGCGGCCCTGCTGTCGCCAGGAGAGATTCTTGTGTTCCAACGGAACCCTTGGGTCATGTGCCGACGAGATGCCAACTCGGGGCCCATGCTGGCACTTCAGGCTAGCAGCCGAACATATCGGAAATTGTGGGTGTAGTAAGGTTAGATAAAACGGCAAAATCACCAACCTCTCCAAGTCCCATTGTCGAACAAACGTCTCCTGTCTAGTCTTGGGGGTGATGTTCTTCAACTACGAAGGGCCCCAAATTGTTGTTGACCAAGAGCCACTTGTACCAAGAAGGCTGCGAATTTCTGCTCAAGCTCCTGGATGTAGGACTCAGAAGAACTCGTCCTGCTCGTTTTAAGTTGTCACCAACAGGTTCAACAGGACGCTGGGATGGCAATTATGCAGGCACAGGCTTCTCTCAGGGGCGTATATCATGCTCGTTGGTTGAAGCCTCCCGGTAACCTTGTTTCCCGAGTAGAAGATTAGAATAGGAGCTTGATGTCAACGGCCAGAATTTGCCCCACGAGAAGTTCCTATCATTGTCTCAAACCTGCAGGACAAGGTTCACGCCGCTGAGAAACAAGAAGGCGAGCAAGCAAGTGCTTGCAGGAAGTCTGCGGGATCATCACTCGACAAAGAACCCCACGGCCACGAACTTCCCTCTGTTAGCATAACATGAAATACTCTAAAGTTCTAAAAACTTTGATCTAAATTCACGACGGCCTCGAAAGCATCCGGTCAAAACTATGCCCCCCCCCACCGATGAATTTCGCTTTGTCACTGGTAGGGGTACCTGTTTGGAGGGATTGTCCTTGAATTTAAAGGATGCGGCTAGTTATGTCTGCAAATGTTGATGTTGGCCACTGATTTTGAGCCCCTTAAACCCTGAATTTTCAGCCACGAGAACCTCCGTCTCCTTCTGCTCCATGTCCCTGCTCGGGCCTTGGTCTCTCACGGAGCACCCTTCAGGGTTTCGGGTTTCGGGCAGAAGGGCTTTTTTCCGGTGAGTTTACCTCGAGTTGGGGTTTTTAGAGGGTTTTGAGTTTGAAGCATGGCGTGTACCGTACCGCCAGTACCTTTTCTGCTGCTCTGGTGTCTCCGGCTGTGCTTGCCCCATAAATGCCGTTGCTGGGAAGAAGCTGCTCAACCACAGGTAGGAGAGCGGGAAAGCTGTCTAGAATAGAGGTGCTGCAAAGGAGTAGTAGTAGTAGTAGTAGTAGTAGTAGTAGTAGTAGGAGTAGCAGTAGTAGTAGTAGTAGTAGTAGTAGTAGCAGCCCTCTCCACACCCCCTGCTTGAACCCTCAAGCTTGTGCAAAACTTGCTAAAGTCTCAGACCGGTGCTCTGGGCTGCATCCATCGTGGGAGTGGATTCGATGCTCGTACCTTCGCTGGTCGGGGCCAGAGTTGGGCAGCTCCCATGAGGAGGCATCGTGCCAGGGGTCCATGCTTCGAGTGTCCTTCTCGTGATGAATGCACCGGAAGCACAGGTCAGGTAGCACTTACAGGTACCGAAGTACGGAATCAAACCTCCCATGCATATCGTATTGAGTGCCGCACTCGAGTCGATGAGGGCTGTACTGCAGCTCATGTTGCCTTCCTCCTCCTCAGGTGGCTTTCAGGGCTCTTGCTCGGACATTTGGGCTGTTGGGTTGGGACGGTCGGGCGGAAACAAAGCAACCCGCCCCTTAGCTTCGGCACACCTCATCGGAACCCTGGAACACCCCTTTTTTGTCGGCATGGGAAGCCCCAAAACCCGATAGGCCCTGAACCCAAGAGTCCTCATGTTCACTTCGGCTTTCCTTGGAACTCCGCTCCTCGCAGCAGGGTTCCCAATGCTGAAGGGGCCTGGTACCGAAAGGATTCGACGATGCTCATCGAGTCTTGAGAGCCGTGTCAACATCGAGTAGAGTTGAAGGAGAGAAGAGGAGGGATAAAGGATTTGGAAGTTTACTGCTTCGCCCCGCTAATACTACGAACCAAGAAGATGCCGGGCAAACTCTGACCCAACACCTGCACCAAAAAAGAGCCTTCCCTGGACAACGACATCTGCAAAGTTAAAACTTTAAGAAACATGAGCGACCCTACTATAAAGACCCTAAGTGCTAGGCTAGGACTCGGATGCATATCACGAGCACCGCTGGTGAAGAAACCACCCTTTCTGGAGATCTCCTGCTCGCCTGCCTCTTCGTCCGGTTGGTCCGTCTCCTTTTTTTTTTTGAGGGGGCCCCTTTCCAACTGCAATTAGTCGACTCCTGCAGTTTAGAGTCTGGGCTTTGAGGGGTTTGGGATCTGCGGTTTCACTTCGACAAGGTGTGCTTCAGAACCGTGCACAGCGGAGGCCGGTGAGAAATCAGAAGTCACCTGAATCCCCCAGGTACCAACTATATAGGGTACTAGAGCCCCTAGGGCCCTATATAGTAGGTACCTGGAGGGTTAGGGTCATACAAAGCCAAGAGCTCTGTCTGGCTACCGTGGCATGACGCAAACCTAACTCTTTTTGCCCATCAGCTCTGAGGCTGGCACACTTATACCCTGTACATGCCCCTACCTATTCCCCCAAATCCCGAACCCCCTTCTTTTGGGAGAGACTCAGAAATCCTGAATCCCAGAAATCCGAGAACATCCGATGTTTTCGAGGAGCCAAGTGTACCCCTCTTCTCCCTCAACCCAAACCCTAATTTATTCCCTAATCGAGGTGCCCCAGGGAACTTGGTCCAAGTATCGTCTCCCAAGCGATCGTCTTGGAAGGATGGCAGTGAGAGCCGCTTCCTGGGCTCGTACACTTTAACTTACCACACTAAACGAAGACTCTTATAGTTACTATACATCCCCAATGGCCGACTACCATCATGAAGTACCATGAACAGTGATTCCACCTCTATTCTGACTACCCTTGTCTTACTACTCTCTGCTCCTGGTATCTAAACCCAAATTATTCATGATCATAATAATAATAGTCATAGTAATAGTAACGATAATCATCGTAGTAGTAATAATAGTAATAATAATCGTTCCTCAAGAGAAGCCCAGCTTCTCCATCCCTTTGAGCCGCTGCCCGCCCGGTGCACTGAGCCGCCTGGAGCTCAGGGCCTCGGCCTGGGGCTTCTTGGAGAGACTCCGCCGCTCCGCGTCCTTCTTCGCATTGGCCTCCACCTGACACGTCGGAAGCCACTGTCGAACAAAAAAACAGAAAAAAAAAAAAGGCTGAGCGACATTCATCGGCATGACCCTCACCATGATAGAACTTGCTTTCAAGGCCTCCTTGGCTAGCTTCTCTGCCACCTGGCAGGTATGGCACGAATGTCAAATGGTTCTTCGTGCTGCTATTGGCGCAGATCCGACAAGCGAGCCTGGTGGCAAGTGTCAAAACAAGATGCGACCCCAATCCATGATCTGAATGCACAAAGCCTGCATGCCCCCGAAACAAACTCGCTCCCATGATTCCACCCAGAACCTTACCACCGCGGATGCTGCTCTCTTTACCCCATGACGAGGCGTTGCTCACCTCTTGAGCTTTCTCCTCAGATCACAGGTAATCACGAGAGTCGAAAACTCAATAGTTTCGGGGATAATTTTTCCCACCCCAATTAGACAAAAGGCTATTTGAGCTTTGCGGAAGTCTCTTCAAGTGTTTTGTTCAGGGCGTCAGGGCTTGCAAACGTAAAGAGGCTTTGGACCTTGCCCCGTTGAGTCCATGGTAGCCCGGGATGTGGTATAGTCATCTGACAAGGCTCCAGGCATGTACAGGCCGGCATTCAGAAGATTTTTGGTAATCCGAACAGGATCGCTTGCCTCATGCCTGAAGGTCGCAAGAACAAGCCGCCTGCGAAAAAGGGTCAGCCCCTGACCCCGAAACGTTCCTCTCGGGGCCCTGGCTGGACACATGTCTTCTGCTTCGTCCTCTTCCTCATCCTCCTCAAAAAAGCACGCAACTCCCATTTTACCAATCCCGGTAAAATCAAGAGGATCTTGAACTTGAACGCGTGATCGATCGCCCTTGCAAGGGGCGGATGATGAGCTCTTTGCTGTCATGGGGAGAGACATACGACACCGAGAAACATCGCTAAACCCTGATGCTTTCCTACTTCGTGCTGCACCATGCTCCAGTCCTCTTCTTCCTCTTCCTCCTGGTCTGTACTCTGGGCGTCCGGCGCCTCGGCAGATGTCGGCTAGGCTGCCAGAATAGCCGAGTCGGCTCAGGCCAACAGGATTGCAGGGGCACAGAGAGCAGGCAAAGTTGAGCAGGAAGGAGCTGGATGGAAGATGGATGGAGGTGGAGGCGTGTGGGCTGGAAACGGGGGCTTGGCTGCTGGTGGCAGGGCGGCTGGAAGGGGGTGTGGCTGGTATCGAACCGCAGCGCACCGCAAACAGCAACAGCAATAACTGGCAGGACTGTACCGCATACAATCGCGAACAATCGCAAACCGACCGAACCGACGTATTATAACCGTGATTCCTAAAAGCCTGCAGGACTCTCCCAGTTTCAATCTCCTCGCCAAGGCGATTCCCTTCGAGGACTCCCAGAGACAAACCGCCTCCGCACCGAAGCTTGCCAACTGCGGCAGGACGGGGACCTGACGAACAAGGCCCAAATGTGAGTGTCATATAATAAAAAAATACCAGAGGGGAGCCTAAAGTCCTACCCATAGGCCCTATAGTAGTTCCTTTTTGGGATTACCTAATAGGATCCGCAATATAAGCCACACAAAGGAACCACTATGGGGCCTATGGGTAGAGCAAGGCTCAAGGCTCTGTTCTCAAGAAGGGTGCACAGCCCAAACGCGACAACCCCTGCAGTTATCAATCTGTGGAAGCCACTGCTAATCCGAAGTTTCGACGCTCCACCAACTATACAGCACCCTTATTCCATGGAGTATATCTTATAAATAATATCCGAATAGTACCTTTTTAACCCTTTTCTCATATGAAACAAACAGCCCGCTTTTGGGAGGGGCGGCCTGTCATTCCCGGCGCGCCTCGGCTCCCTCCTTGCGCACCGTCCGTCTCAACCTGTTCGAGCCGGAGAAATCCCTAAAGCCCTAAACCCTCATTTAGGGCTTAGGGTTTAGTTCAGGGCAGATTTAAGGCTTAGGGTTTAGTTCAGGGCAGATTTAGGGTTTAGGGTTTAGTTCAGGGCAGGTTGCATCCGGCAGTTGCCCCAAAAAAACCCGACAGGTGCACTTTCCCCGCCCCCTTCTTGTGAAGTTCAGGGCTCAGGAGGTCAAAGATTCCGGATCCCAAGCTTTAGAATGAATCCTAGGCCCCGACACTCATAACTGACATTATTTCAAAAAAAAATAAAGAATTGAAATTGTAGCAAAAAATATATATACATGTAGACTCAGATGTACTGGAACTGGAATGAACTGGACAGTAAATCGGACCAGGATCCTGAACCGCAACCTGGACCTCTCTGCGCCTAAACGTAAGGCAGCAGAAGCCCCCATGCTCCCAAAGCCCAAACCCTAAACCTCAATCCCTAAACCGCGAACCCGAAGAAAGTGAGGAGCCCACTTGATCACCAAAGGCCGCTTCTTCATCGCTTGCACAAACTCCGAGGATGTGAAGGCACGAGACCTCCGATGGTCCACGGACCTGCTCTTAGCTGGTTAGATTTCGACTTTAGGCTTCAGGGCTTCGCCTCTGTTCCTGCTACCTCTGTTTTGGTCTTGTTCCTCCCAAGTTGTTTTCTTTGAGAGTTGGTAGTGCTGGTAACCGTAGGACATCCCAGGCCTAGTTAGCAGTCTTGTATGTTTTCAGCTCCTGGCCAGTACAGTTACGTTTGTCATGGTCGTGGGTGTGCCAGCTATTGCGGTTTTACCTGTTATGGCTGTATTGTTCGTATGAGACTTTTCTTGTCGCTAGCACTCTTCTTATCTATCGTTACTAGGGATACTATTCAAGTAATGTCTACTAGCAGTCTCAGTCTTGTTGTTTTAGCCACTGCTAAGCTACCAATCTGTGTTGTTCTTCGCGTTCTTCTTCTGCTGTGACAAGTGTCTTTCATGTTGTCTTGCTGTCGCGATGTGTTCTTTACATACTTGTTTTTCTACGCTCTTGCTGCTATTGAGATGTCAACCCTACCCTTGACGCCTGAATCCCGAACCCCAAGCCCCTAAACACTGAATTAAACCCTAGTCTGTAAGCCCTGAACATCCCCAAATCCCAATCCCTACAGGTCCGATTGAAAGACTGCGGCGAAGTTGCATGAATTCGTCGCCACAGCGGATGCCTCTAACGTACAGATATTGTATAGGGTTCTTGAAGCGGGTGCACAAGGGTTCTGTAAGGCTATGTAGGGATTGATTACAGGGTCCAGTATAGAGGCCTTAGTGATTACAACAAGGAGTTTCCCTTTAAAGAGGTTACCAACAGAGTTGGAACAGGGGCCTTGATAGTTACAGGGTGATATTGTTCCTGTGTAAAAACAATGTACCCTGAACTCTTGGAATAGGCAACACGACCCCAAACACACCTCTGATCCACCCACGCACGAATGATTATTGTGCTCGTTGCTGTCCTTTAGCCCCCCTTTCCACCGGAGCAATCATGAAACGGTCTAGGCTCGCATATATGCTCCTTCACTCATGGTTTACAAGCGTTGACAGTGTCATCTTAATCTTAATTCGTGTAGCAAGGATTTTGTGTCCTTGGCCGCCCATTCAGAGAAACAACAAACGGAATATCTGCGATATGACTCGCCTGGCATTCCTCAGTCCTCAAACTGACACCGGACCACGAGATGGCAACTGCGTAACTTCGACTGCTTCAAGACTGGCAGAGCAATTACTAAACATATTATAGGGGAAAAACTAGTTTTTCCCCTATAATATGTTTACTGGCAGATCAAAGTAATGACATCGCGGGACCATCTTGCTTGACTCATTGATCGAAGCCTTCACTTAGCCTGTGGCATGTTGCGCAGCCCATTGGATGCTTGCTGCGGCATTCGCATGGGAAATGCAGAGGCTTCAGGCTCCGAAGAACAGAGCAGGGGTTTAGGGTTCCCTTAAACCCTAAACCCTAAACCCTAACCTCAAGGGCGGACCTTGCTTCTCCGCCCAGGAGCCTCTGGTGACCTGGCGAAAGCTTTGAGCTCTCAGAGCAGGTCATGCGTTTATAGCCCTGGATCACTGGACGACTACTTCATGCGCAGCAGCCCAAAAAGGTCGACTTCGTGTTAAGAGTGTTTCTGGCATGTATTTCACGAAGCCTCAAACCTCTGCACCCTCCTACACGAAGCTGGGCTGCTGGCCCTCTTCACCACTAAAGGCACCGGCGGCAGGTTGAGGAAGCCTACGCCGATGCGCCCTACACCGGGTCCGGCAACAAGCGTCGCCACCTTGTCCGAAGGTTCAGTGGGTCTGCAGGGTTTTTTTTGCTGGGATGAGGAGCCGCTGAGCTGTCGTCATCGCGGAACTACTCTTCGAAGATGGACCCCTGCGGGCTGAGGGCCCATCCATGTCGAAGGCCAGCCAATCCGAAGCGCCTGCACGTTACTCACGCGACCTACGCATCTCTTGACAGCCCCGTAATTCCACGTTCTGGGAGCTCTGAAGACATTGAAGACTCTGTGTTTCGTCCTTGCAGTTTTCGGCAGCTGATGCTTGGAGTCGACCACCGGGTTCTGTGGGCATGGGGTTCAACGGGGCCAATGCCTAAGACCATTAAAGGTGCTACTCTGCGATCACAATCTTCGGCATTGCAAGTAGCATATGCAGTAATCATTCTTTCATGGCAATTCAGCTAATGGTTGTTTTGCAGACACGAAGTACTCATGGAAACGATGCCCCGGCAGAAATCGCATCATGTCTTCAACGTTCCTGGCAACTCTCAGAATGTCCAAATATCCCGATTCAGGATACCATGCAAGCCAGCATCTCTACAACTTCTGGCTATGACTCTGCATGAGCACTATACAATCCTCTGCCTTAAATTAGGAGGCAGGCCCCTCACCTGCATGGAGCTGAAATGCCACCTTGGCCACACAAGTCCAGGTTATCCTCCGCCGATATTCAGTGGTGGCCAGGAAACATACTGTACTGCCGGGTTCTTTACAATGACAGAAGAAGAGCTTTCAGGGCCCGATGCGAGAGCCCTAGACGGCCATAGCATGCTGCATCATTCGAGATCGGAAGACAGAAACCAGAACGAACAGCAAGAGGTATGTGCCTAGCATGGTGCATGCGAAGGAAGCCGGAGCAAAACACACTCCAACTTGTGCACCGACACCTCGACCCAAGGTCAGCGCCAGCATGAGCCACGATGCGGCTCGATTCTTCACTTGCGGTGCTACGATCTTCGACGTCAGCGCATACGCATAGTTCTTGACAAAACTGCTTGCGGTCAGGAGGGATAGCAAACCAGCGAATGTCAGTGTGATCGTTGCAGCGGACCAGTTTGGCATGAACTGGAACGCGAGCACGGAAAGGATGGCAGTCGAAAGTGTGCTTAAATGGAGCCCATTTTTGTCGTCCAAGAGTTTCACAATCCGGCTGCTCCCCAGTGACAGCACACACACGACCGCCATCAGCCCTGCAAGAGCCCATGAACTCCGCACTAAGCTCCAGTGCCAAGTCTGCTGCGACAGTTGGGTGAAGTAGACCATGCATCCAACGGTTGTCATAGTGCTTGCAAAACCCGCCAACAGGCATACAATTAAGCCTGTCGTCCACAATGGTTCTTGCTTCTCAGCCGGAGATTCTTGAGTCCAAGGGAGGGTTTCCTGTGAAGGCAAGTCTTGCGGGTTCTCGAAAAAGAAGACCACCTTCAACAAGTACAAGAAGTAGGCAATCGCCATGAACCATCCGGGGGCTGTGTCTGAGTCCAGCACGACATTCTGAATCTGCAGCTCACGCAGGAAGATTTCCAGCAAACCGCAAACAGCTGGAGCCGCCGCCAGTGCCGCGGCAGTCACTGCAGAATACACAAACAACACCGGAGTCCGCCTCTTGACACCCACAGCGTCTGCGATGTAGATGGGCGCACACAGCTGAAACTGACAAATGCCAATGACGGAGCGCGCGACAAGAACCGCCAGCGGCGAGTGCATGAGCCCGGCAAGGGAGTAGATGATGTGTCCCAACACCATGTGCGCAGCCATGAGTATAGTCACGGTCTTCATGGTAGCTACTTTCAACATCCAGCGGTTGAGAGGGACCCCGATCAAGCCCTGCAGAAGAGGCGTCAAAGCAATGACAAGTCCACTGAACATCTCCCCTGCCCCGAGTTTTTTGGAATACTCGTGGGCCGTCGGCACCACAATGGCCAAGGCCAAAGGTGACAAGAACCCGGAATACATCACGAGGCAGAGGGATGGAAACGGAGCCATCCGCTCCTCAAGTGGCACTCCAGGTGCCTTTTGAGAATCTCCAGCGCTCCTCAGGACAATGTGGTGTTGAGGAGAGCTACCTGTGGAGTTGAAGGGCCCTCTGCAGTGAGTGGGCAAAGTCTCTGTGCACGTGACAGACATGGCTCGCCAAATCAACGGGAGGCGCTCTAGGCTGTCACAGCTTGCCCAAATGCTGTGGACATGAGATGCTCGGGGAGAACCTAAATACCTGGCCATACATAGGTACAAAAATACATACATACATCGACACATCCATCCACGCATAAATCATAAATCCGTTTCTACATGTACATGCACATATACATAGGTACATAGACGGAGGGAGAGCTAAACAAGCTTCAGTTCTCCGGACTCAAGTAACTTCTGGAGGCTGGCAGCGCTCTCCCAGGGCTGCAACTCCGAGAATCATCCTGCGATTTAAGGTCCCTCGTCCGAAACCCGAAACCACGCATGGCAGTACATGGACCCCAACTAGTAGGATCCTTTTTCAAACGCACACTAATTTTCAGAAACGCCGAACCCTAAATCCTTAAGTCTGAGAAACGACCATCATATCCTAAACATTCCAAAACCCTAAAGCCCTTCATTTACGAAACCCCCATACCACACACAAAAAAAAAGTGACCACGCAGCCTATCGAGTCGGCGGTGGGAACCTGGGCCGGAGGTTGCGTCGGGTGGAGCTCGGGTTTCCGGGATTTTGGCACTCACACTCGGACTAGCCCGGCAAGGTCTGTAGCGATACAGGTCCCACGACGCATTATGGCTTCCCACTCGACACGCGACTCGGGCAATGCAGGCGAGGCACGCGATTGATCGAAAATCGGCGAGGCTGGCTTGAACACGACACAAACCCCGACCATGAAGAGATGTAATACTTGTCAGCCTTCTACGTGCTTCTAAAGCCTCAGAGACGCAATGCAGCTAGTACGTCCACAAGGCCACTTTTTCCGCTCTGATGGTCACAGGGTGTGCTTGCATAGTGCAACCTTTGTTGACCGGCGTTCCCGACAGCCCGGTGAGCAGCCCTTCGTAGTAGAGAACTGCCAGGGCAAGTCGAATCACAAGACTCCTAAATTCCTAAAGAGCTGGAACCTGAAATGCACCTGCCACGGAGGAATGGTAGGCTGTTAGTCCACTTTCCAACCGTTTAAAGGGCCACATCGTTCTTCAAGCTTCCATAATAAAGCCACAACCCTGAAACCCAAACCAACCTTCCTTCGTTGCGGTGGCTGCTGTTGTGGACCCGGGCCACGTGCTGCGGTTCGTCGCACATCCACTTGGAGAGACTTTGGAATTCGAGATGTGGTCGACTGCTTCATCAAGTAACGCAGCAGATGGCCGTGGGATGTCGGATCCAGCCAGAAATAATCACACAACGCTGCAATCATGTGTTGCAGAGTCGAATTCAGGCAAGAGATACAGATACAGGCTCAACCTTGCAGCTAGTATTTGACACGTGCGAATTCGCGGCCTCTAGTTTTCCGCGACAGATGCAGATGTAGGGGGCTTCTTACAGCAAGGGTCTCTCAGGGGCCGTAGTGATAAAGATCCGGCTTTTCATGAATCTACTAAGATTTAGAGCCATGCTCGGCAACCCTCGTTTTCCGAAGCCGCCATGTGACAGCCAACACATCTTTACACCATGAACCCTCAGGGCAATGTCGCTTCAACTTCCAGGCTTTCTGCAGCGCGGAGTTCGGGTTGTACATAGCACTTGGCCGACAACTCTCCCTCTCCTCGACCCTCGTCCTTCTGCTGGTCAAGGCTCTCTTCTGCGACAAAGGCCACCTCCTTGAAAGGAAGCCTTTGCCACCTGAACTGCTGCCGGAAACGGATGAAAGACCATAGCACAAACACCAGGCTGCATGCGGCGATGATTCCTGGTGCCGACTCATCTGATCGAAGCTGGAGGACACCCACCATGAGGATCACGTAGAGCACCAAAGCCAAATGCATATGGCCAAGCTGCGTTACCCAGAACGCGCCACCCAGATCGGGCTTCTTGGTCTCCGTGTAGATGACGAGGTACCCATAGATGAGCCGAGCAAGCAAGCAATCGATCATGGCTAGCACTGGCATTAATGGTGAAATGCTACAAAAGAGGATGCCCAACACCACGTTGATGGAAAGGTTGACACTGCGAGCACCGAATCCGAAGCTGTCCTGGTTCTCTGGCTCAGACAGGTTCTTCGCTTCCTCCGGAGTGAAAAGCACCTTGAAGAACTGGAACTTGATCAAGTTCATGTACCGAAGCATCTCCATGGCGTGCGCACTCCACTGGAGGACGAGGTACGTCATGTAGTAGTGGGTGACATTCGGCACGCTCTCACCCAGGACGGTGAAGATGGAAGTAGGATCCTCGACCAGGGTCGTAAACTTGTTCAGGATGGAGTTGCCCACCGTTGTGACAAGCACCACGAAGATCAGTTGGAAGACGAAGAACCAAAACTGCAGCTTGTGCTGTGCGAACGACTCCGCCTTGAGAACAAAAAATGCCCGGAAGATAGCCATCATCACAGAAGGCAGCAAGGACAGGAAGATGGTGAGACCAAGAGTGGGTGCAAAGGCATTCCACAGAGGCTGGAATGGTCCTACATCGAGATGCTTGGCGAACACCGTGATTGCGAGAGTGATAGGCATGAAGCCGATGTACAAGCCCGCCACGCAAAGGCATCCCACCAGGCGCTTTGCGTTGTTCATCTCCCGGCTTCCTCGCAGGTCCGACCACCGAAGATCATCTGCCGGCGGGGCAGCAGAGACCTGCCATTGGTTTCTGTCGGCATGGATTTGAAGACTCTGCGCCAGCTCGGCAAAACGCCGGCCTGTGAACGTCACAAAGCCGCAGTGGGCGCCGGTCGCTGCCGGGTCCTTTTCCTGACTGTCCCTCATTTTGTGAAGCAGCTCGACGATGTCTTCGTCCATTCCCTGCAGGCCGTCGTTTGCATACTCCAAAGCATCCACCTTCGAACTGCAGCAGGTTGGCCGGATCATTTCCTCCTTGCCGGTCTTCTCCATAGTGGCTTCTGCTTGGCGCTTTACAGCCAGCAGCTGCTCTCTCTTTGAAACCGTTTTGGCCAGAGCATCCGCGTGCTGCACCACGTGGGCTTCGCGGACATCTTCCGGGGAGAAGATCTTACTGAAAAACTGCTTGAGCTTGGCATCGGACCTCCATTCCTTTGGGATGTCTTCGACCATCACCGTCGTTGATCGCGGAGCAGGCAGATTTGTGAGCCACTTGACCCGAAGGTCAAGAAACTTGGCCTGTGCACTGAAGAGCCAGTAGTGCACCACGAAGCAGACTAGCCAAACCACCACGGCGTGCGCGTAGAAAAGCCAGGCATGATTGTCTTGCACGGCGGCCATTTCGATGCGGCTGAGCTTGTCCACATCTCCATTGCCCCCGAGTGTCTTTGTGATAGGGATCGCGATGAGGCACATGGGAATCCCAATGCTGCCCAGCACACGAGCTGCGAGCCAAGTGTACTCGCGCAACAGGGCGGCATCCAGACCAGCCCTATCCACAGCGTCCTCGATGCTGGTGTTGATGCTGTAGCCCACCCAGTCGCAAAGCTTGGCCTTCAGCCCCCAAGCCCGGCTTTGCAAAGTCCGCACGCCGGGCTCGCTGGGCTCGCTGGGCTCACCAGCGAGGGCCTTGTTGCTTTCCGGCTGTAGATGCGAGTACACGATGGGGAAGTTGATGCGGAGGATGCTGAACGCAAGAATGCATCCTGCAGCGATCATGCTGTTCAAGAAAATCGCGGAGAGGAAGGTGTCCAGATCCCCTTCAGAGTTCGTGTTGATGTTCATCGTGTCTGCGGCACTCATAATCGCATCCACTGTGTCGTTTGTGATGTTCTCTGCGCCGAGGGCCGCCTGTAAGGAGGCCGCCAGGAGCAACAACACAGGACCGGTCCCCATGATGAATGCCGTGTCAAATTAAGAGCAGCACTGTACACTGGGCCTTTATATCAATCGCCAGGCTTGAGCCGTAGCCATTTTGGAGGGACACGCGGCGATGATAGACATGATGAAGACGTGATGTTGATGACGATGGGAGTTTGTCGTAGACTGCAGCGCAGGTGCTAGCCCTTGAGGCAACACCAAGCATAATTTGTCAGCGCCTCTCATTCTTTCTTTCGCCGGGGTTGTGGTGCAGCGGTTGCCCCTTACACCGTGCGCCTGTGCGCCCCCGACTGTTGCGGGAGCCAAAAAACGATGCGGGCAAACTCCAAAGAGGCATTGATCGCGCAAGAAGGACGCGTCCTTTTTGCGCCTCTCATTCTCTTACTCTCTCTCTCTCTCCATCTCTCCCTCTCTCCCTCCTGCGATCGAGTGTTGGAGGTGGTGCACGGAAACACCGGCGACTTGTTCGTGTTACACACCATGCCTGGACAATTTAAAACTCAGTTGAAGCACGGATCCGATTCTCGAAAACCGACCTCGGATCTTGTGCCGAGAGGCATCTGCAGCGCAACCTCTTGGAGAGTCGTCCCTGTGCCCATCACCTGATTCGACCCCAGCAAGTGAGCTATGAAACATGCGGAGGCTCCAAGACGATGTATGAAAGAAGCTTTCACGTACAGGCACCTGTACCTCCGATAATTTGGGCCAGCCTATGTTGACAGGGAGGTCTTGACCATGCTCCAGCCTAAACATGCCCCTAAAAACTCAAAGCCAAAAAGTTTAAAGCTTAATGGACTCTAAACCCTATGAAGCTCCACAGATTTCTGGTAGGAAGGAACCTAAGCCCCAAAACCCATCAGCGCCTACACGACCTCCGCCGTGAATCCTTCGTGGCATGTTGCAACCTTTGTAACCCCATGGCCCACAGGTTGAAGTGGAATCTTTCCGATTTCAGAGTCTGAAGCCACTAACCTCGGCCCTCAACCCCAAACCACACATCAGACTCAATGTTTGACGGAGCACTGGACACGGAACTCTGGTCGCTGTAAGCGCTGCGTTCCGTGTCCGGGTCTTTCGCATCCCCCACCTGAGAGCAGAAGACTTAGGGTGTGATCTGATGTGCAGGCTTTTGCCATGTAATTCGGTGCTTTTCTGTAGGCTGCAGGTGGCACTGCTTCAGCCGCAGCTGTGTGGGAAGAGCTTGGTTGAAAATTTGCCCGCAAAGAAGCCTCCTTGGGCTGGGCTTGCGGCCTACGAACAGGACAAAGAAGACAAGGGAGGGAGGGAGAGAGCGAGAGAGAGACAGAGAGCGAGAGAGAGAGAGAGAGAGAGGCAGGGAGGGGGAGTGAGTGGCTGTGTGAGTGAGCGCGTGTCGGGTCCGTTGGGTTGGCAGGTGGGTGAGTTATCTGCGGATCGGTGTATGAGCAGGTGTGCGGCCTTGTCGGCATACGAGACGAGGCCTGTGTACACAGGCATAGATCTGCAAACGCATAAGGGAAAGCACACATGTCTGAAAGCACATGTGGGAGTAAGCATCGTACGTTATCTCTGCATCTTCCTGTCTACATTCGTAATAGACTGCTCTTACCCGTATGCCAGTCCTTTAAACTGAACGAGTGTAGTTATCAAGATTGCAGTTTCCTTGGAAATTTTTCCTGCTTGAACCCATTTCTTCAGGGTTGCCGCCTAGGTCTCTAAGGTGGACAAGCTGAGCAGCTTCATAAGTGGTCTGAAGTGTACTACTGAAACAAGGACCCTGCAAAGAATATCCTGTTGTGTGCTGGTTACGTTCAAACGCCGGCAGCGTGGGCACCGTAGTCAAGTTCATGGACTGGTCTCGCAATCTTTAGTAATGATAATTAATGCCGAACCAACTGCTCCCCGCCGGGCTGCATAATATGACTCTGGTCGTTGTCGGCTGGCGAAATTAAAGATGTGGGGAACTATGCTCGAACTCCTGGCAGGGTGTCGCTGGAATCACAAGCACAGTTACATGCATGCTTGTCATTTCGGCCTTCAGTCTGCAACTGCTGGTTCTTTGCTGGGTATTCCGAAAGTCAGATACGGTTTATGAATCCTTAAAGTGATGGTGCCAGTACGAAACAAGATCATGCGAGGAAACCAAATCCAAAAGCATCATTTCCACGACCGAACGACCACACGCTCACAAAGACCTCACCGCCCACCACCAGCACCACCAGCACCGGCGCTGCTACGCCGTCTTGAATTAGCAGCAGCAGAAGTGAGCAGTGGTCGTTGTCGTCATAGTCGCAGTGGTATCGTCGTCGTCATCGTCGACGACAACGACGGCTACCACTACGACTATACTACTTACGGCGACGACGACGACGACGGCGACTGCAAGTACCACTACCACCACCACCACCACCACCACCACCACCAGCACCAGCACCAGCACCAGCACCAGCACCAGCACCAGCACCAGCATCACCTCCACCACCAGGATAAGGGCCACTACTTCTTGTCCTTTTTCCTGCTACTCCTTCTCGGGGCTTCTGAACCTGCCCTTACACCAAAACCACTAATGTTAATGGCTGCGGGAAAGACACGGTACGATGCACTGTCTTCAAACAACATTGGTCCTCTGCGCGAGCTCCCGCCGCAGTTTGGAGATCTCGGCCTGGGCTGCGGCCTGAGACCTGGGAATGTGCAGCTCTTTTTGTCCAGATTTCGGCACCTTCTCTCGGAGAGTTGTAGAGCCAGAGCAGATGGTGAGGTTCGCAGTTCGTTGATGTGAAGCACTCAGACTCAAGCAAGGGGTTCTTGAATGTGCTTGCTTGACCGTCACGGCCGAAGACACCCGGAGTGCCAGACTCTGTCGCACATAAGTGCGCATTGCACCATCCCAACTCATGTGGCGATGATGATGATGATGTGGTCGCAGTTGCAGCTGGAACAGGAAGGCTCTGTCTATGAGGCGGCTGCAGCAGCAGGTGTGGATGGAGCCCATGGAGGCCACAAGAACCGTCCTAGTGCTGGCGCTCGTGGTACATCATCGCACGTAGGACGTAGGCCGAAACTCGTTCGTTGCAACTCAAGTGGTTTTCTAGGCCGTTGCCCTTTTTGCGGGGTGTTGTGAGATTTGCTCGAAGGTGTTGCTGGCAGTGGGCCATTGCGGCGGGCCTCGGAGGCAATCAATCGTGCCCCTGAGCTTAGTGAGCGTTCGTCGCCAGCATCCACACTCAACATGATAAACATCGAACGTTTGACTCGCGATCGTATCGTCATTATTCGTATTATTATGACCACCGCTTCAATCGTTTTTTCAATTGCACAGAGAGAGAGAGAGAGAGAGAGCGAGAGAGACAGCCAGAGAGACAGAGACAGAGACAGAAAGAGACAAAGAGAGAGAGAGAGAGATCTATCCATGCATCTAATCTACCATGTATCTATTTAGTACACATGTCCGAGCACACGGCTGCTTCAGAAGCGTGACCTGCGCCCTCAGTGACACCTCACCGGCACGTTGAAGAGGACACTCTGTCAGGCTTCGCGTCTCTACAACAACAAACGACATAACCAGCCATGGATTTCAGAAACTTTGCAGTCAGACCTGTCGGCCTGTGGTTGGGAATCTGAGCTCTCACCCTTCTTTAGGGCTTCCTGAGTTTCATTTCAGATCCGCCTGTTCCCTCTCCGCCTCTGCATGCGTCCACTCCTGCAACCATGGGCCGTGCCGCTTCAGGGCCCGTGACTCTAAGCCGTTTGGGACCCCAAAGCCCCGAAAACCAATTCGATAGCAACTGTCCTTACCGAAACCACAAGTCGTAACAAAACGGACAATACTTGCAGCAACAGGCACAACAGCCATGCTCAGCCTCACCCCATCACCGCAACCATCATCTTTCGAGGGGCCTTGGGGCGAACCCCACTCCCCCACCTACCCACCCTGCTATCCATCCACCCTGCAGCTTCAGAAAGATATCTCAGAAGCCAGCCTGCAGGGTAGGCCAGGAAGGCTGAACTCTTGCAGCTACTCTGGAAAGCCCATAAAGCCTCGAAGAAACTCAGAACCTCTCTTGAAACTGGAACTCTCTGATGTGCCAGAATGGCAGACTCCGAACCCCGTAAACCCCATAGCCCGGCTCCTCATCCATGGAGCTGTACGAGCCGACAACATGGCATCTTCAAGCCGGAAAGCTGCGGGCCTTCTCTGGGGTCTCTGAAAGCCAAACCCCTCATTGTTGCTTCGGTCTTGCGGGTTTAGAGATTTATTGTTTAGATAAAGTTTAGGGTTGAGGCCTAGTCTTCACCCAGAGCTGCGCAGTCGAAGCTATTTTTTCAACTTCCGGAGCTACTGGCCCCCCTTCCAAACCTCGGAGGCGACACCTGAGTGTTGCTCGGGGCTGCCGGGTGCAACGCTCGTTCTTTTTCAAAACATGCTCTGGGATGTCTCCGGCTCCGATAAATTCCTTGACTTCGATGCCTTCTCTATTTCAATCGGTGCAGATGCACGAATCACCATGCCAGGGATAAGGTTGAAAAATTATCACTGCAGTCACTGCATGACGTTCACAACATCGTGTCGGCGAGCCAGTCGCCATGCCACAGTCTGCCTGCCGCGCTCCAGCACTGACACACTCTACTTAGCGACAGTGGCTGAAAGGACGTACGGACAACCGCTATGCGATCATTCCTGCTTTGGGTTGATGATGACAGACTAGAGCGGAATAGCAGGAAGCAACAGCACCGTCGCACAAAGCACACATAATTTTTTCATTTGGGCTTTAAAAGGTCTGCGCGCTCACGACCAGGTCAGGCCGCCTCTGCAGCAGGCATAAGCATTCCCTTGCAGGAAGACACTGGTGCCGCGTTCGTGAGCAGGCAGCCTACACTACTGCTGAACTGGAGGCCTCGTCATGACTTGCAGCAGGTGCGACGAAAGACATCCTATGACATGGCTGCAGGTGTGGAAGGGCGGGGCAGCTCAATTGTTATTTTTTTGAGAGGACTCAGTTTTTTCAGTTTCCAAGGTTCGCCGCACCTGGCGTCGCATCTATCTCGGCTGACCTCAGGCCTGCTGAGACGCATTAGGTGCAAACGCTGAGTCCGAATAAGCAAAATCGGCTTTCTCTTCAGGTTGCACTCCATTGTCGCCGATTGGTAAGTTTCCGTAGCTCGTCTTTCTCCATCTCAGCGCATTTTTGACGGGCTGGCCCGTCAACAACAGCTTATGTGTGATAATGAAAACAGTGGCAAGGCTACCGAGTCGTCCATGTGCTCGTAACCGTAGCAGCTCTAGCGTCAAATACTTCGCTACCTAAAAACGAGCATGTAGGACGACGAAATTCAGCTTCACTGTGAAGCACCTTTGCATCCACATGAAAAGCAGAGGCCGAAAACGTGGAAGTGCAGGAAGGTTCCCTGGGCAGCCGTCTTTATCAGCAAGGTAAGATACTGAAAGAGAGACCTTTCAATGTACAGAAATCAGTAATACAATAGAATATATATATATATAATAAAAGACATCATGTATACGTGCATATTATATATATTGTATATTGTATATTATGTATAAGATATCAGAGCACCTATGGAACCTTGCGAGGCCCCACTTTGATGCTGACAGCTGCTTCGCAGCATGCGACCAACGTAGTCGTACTTCCGGTGATTCCCCGAACCACGTCGCAAAAAGCAGTGCAATCGTAGGGCATAGTCTCAGGGAGGGGGTAGATGGCATGAGCTGAACTGCATGCGGGTTGAACTTGAACGACGTGACGATTGCGACCCATGTATAGGCCACAATCTGCTATCCAGTGTGCAGATTGCAGGGAGGCGGAAAGACGACGCATAGGCAGCGAAAGGTAGGAACCTACATCGTTGAACGGTACTTCTTCTGATCGCTGTTTCTCACTTAAGACTTAGAAAAAACAATGGACTGTAAACCGCTGCATCGTCGGAAAAAGACAAAGAGTCTGGTCAGACTTCTGCTGCCTCAAGATCGTTGGCCTCGTGACTCACACCTCGGGTCAGAGGGACCAGAGAATCTATCATGATTGAAACTATTTTTGATATTGTTATAATATCCTTATACTACAGACGAGTCTTATGGTAGTTTTTGGTGCTGTTCAGATACCTTGCCCTTTGCATGGTCAGTAATTACTATGTAATTGTTCACACCCTATAACTTACAACCCCAGGACCCAGACGGCGCTGCTTCCAATAGCGGGGGCCTCGAACTGGAGTGAATCAAGGGACCCTAACAAAAAACGCTCGAGAAAGAGGATCCTCATTGTAAAGCTTAAAAGGACAAACACTTCGGGCACTTTGAATCAGCGCAGGTACCGGCCACCTAAACTTCAACGTTGCCGCACTTCCCCGCGACCCATGCTCAATCCTAAGCGAAACCGGGGTTGAGCTTTGGAACCCTCAAAGCCTCCTAGGCCCCAGCATTCAAGCCCAAAGCCTGAAGGCCGATATGTGGCTCTCCTTGCGACTGGGCTCTTTGGGTCTCCCAATAGCCCTCCTAAAAAAAGAGGGTTCCGAGTTCTGTCAGCGGCACCAACCACATTCGGAGCCGGCCCCGGAGTTCTATCGGCCTCCAGGGAAGGTTTTTTGGACAAAGGGAATTTTGAGTTTTTGGGTCTAGTGTTCAAACGAAGGTCTTTAGAGTTTAAGGGCGTTGGGGGCTCTAAGTGCATAAGTGTAGAGGCGCTGGATCAGTGCTCAGCTGCTTCTTCTCTCTCAGGCAGTTAGGGTGTTCAGGTTTCGGATTTTCTCGATAAAGCCAGAAGCGATCCATGTCGGTAGGGTTTAGGGTTTAGGGTTTAAGGCTTCGGAAGCTTCTTCAAGTAAGGGGTTCCACCTTATGATACTACGAGGGATCGCGGCGCCGTGGCATCTGGGGAATCTAGGGCTCTATGTCAGCCCCGCACATGCTTCGAAACTCGCACTCCTAGCCCCGGCAGCCGAAAATCCATAATGTTTACAGCGTCCTAGTATGGGAGCGTTAGAAATTAGAATAGGGCGTGGGAGTATATTATACGATGCTTATTATATAGGGACGATAAGGGAATAATAATGCTCACTGCTAGTTCTTACGCCCATGTGTGTACTGCGATGGCCTCGTTGGTGGGTTGATGTCGCTGTCTGCACATGGGGCACTCGATGACGTGTTGTCCGCGGTGACAACACCAAGTCATGATGCACTCGGCATGGAATGCCTCAGAGAAGTGTTGGAGAGAGAGAATCGTTAGCATCAGACACACCAGCTCCCAAAGAAGTCTCCAATCCAAAATATCCAGCAATCCCCGAAACCCTCGCAACACATTCGATCTAAGCTTTGGGGAAAGCCGCTCTAAAGTCAATAGAACATCTCGGTGCACCCCCCGAGCCCCCGGGGGTCCTCTGATCGTGATTGTAAGCATACCAGTCGCACGCTAGCGGTATTGACAGCACACATCGAAATCAAACACTAGCGTCAGCATAATGGCTTTGGGCTGAATGGTCTTGACAACACTGACCTGTCATTACGGAAATGCTTGTTACCGATCTTGTAGGAATGCATAGCGGCGATGATATCATCATGCTTACTAGGGGCTGTTCTAAGTCTCTGTATCACTACAGTGACAAGTACTCTCAGAACTACAATTATTGCCTCAAATCCCCTTTTTTGAGCAGGGACTGCAATGCACTAAGCCCCGAATCCCTTCAGCCAAGCTCCATACGCTAAACCCTGAATCCTTTCTTGTAGCCAGGTCTCTGATGACAGATGATATTTGTTTGAACCCAGTCTTGGGGACCAGGTCATTATACCCTTTTTACGTCACGACTTCTGCAATGGCCTGAATTTCTCAGCACACCGGGGTTCAGCTCTCATGACTTCACCTTTTGTTGGCCCCCAAAACCCTATAACCCGATGCTTCGGCTACCGGCCCAGGCGCATGCTGGCACTGAAGACGCCGCGCGTCATCCTCTGGTCCCACTGTGTCAAGGCATACAGAGCAGGTCTGCTCCTGGTGGTCACGGGATCTCGGGCCTAGGGTTTGGGGTTCTGGGGGAGTTTGGCAATGACATCAACACCTGCGCCCCTAAGCCTTTTCCCCAGCAAATGAGAGACTTGCATGCTTCGTTCGGCTTCAACCGACGGTTGCAGCCTGTAATCAGCATAGTTTTCGATTTTACAGCACCACATGATGGACCACATGCACAACATAACTTACAGCAGGCCAGCATTCTACTTCCGAACTAGGTTGTAATGTAATACAAAGTATACTCTCATCATAACCAAAAGTATGATACAATATGATAGCGCAGAATAGAAAATAATGCAATATAACATAATCATATAAAATATGACATAATGCAATATGATATACTATAGTACAAAATAGTAATGAAATATGATATTACATCGTATAAAATAATACAAGATAAATAAAATAATACAAGATAAATAAACTAATGCAAGATAATATAATGTGAAAAACACTAGAACATACTCATAGCCATATACCATAGTAATATACCATAGTATACCATCACATACCGTACCATACTATACTAGACTATACCCTACTGTATTACAGTATAACACAATATACTAATTAATGTATTGCAACTCGCGCCTAACGCCCAAGTGCTGCTGTCACGGAGGAGAGCTGTAGCTGCCGTCACTTAGTCTCCCGTTGACCAACGGAGGTATTCACTTTTTGAACCCAGACTCTACCAATCAGCTGGGGAGGCAGTCGCTGGACTTTATCCCTTTTTTGCACAGGCTTGCGTTAATCCCTAAACACTTTTTACTCAACCCCTAAACCTTAAACCCTTATAAACCCTAAGCCCTCGGCTCTGGCTTCCTTCAACTGCTTTAGTTGCGGTTCTTGACCGGGTTAGGTCAGCGAGCTCCTACTATATTATACTCTATACTATACTGACTACACTATACTAAACCTTACTTTGCTATACTAGACTAGGCAGACTATACTTTACAAGTACTATGCTGTACTATACTATACTTTACTATGGTATGCATATCGTCATCCTGCAGGCCCAAGTTGGCAGCCTACCTGTGCCCGTGAGCCCTCACATCCCACTTTCTTTGTACCCTCGGAGCCCGGAATCCCAAAGTCCAGATGTCCTCTTCTAACTTCACGATCGGCAGAGCGGCTTCGACCTCGAAGCCCGGAAGGGTTTACGCCAGGGGAGGTCTGTCGATGCGCGGGTCAGACAGTTCACTGCCCGGAACTTTAGGGTTTAGGGTTCGTGGTTAGAGCTTCGGGCTTAGAGGCCTGTGGACTCGTGCAAGGTAAGTGCCACAAGGCAGAGCCCACCATGATCTTCACATAAATTCCGACAGACAGAGCCTATGAGAAAATTTGTACTTTGCTATGGCACAGGATTTCGAAGCGCATTCTCTCTACTCTACATGATATCTTAACGGGACTGCGAGATTCGGGGTCTAAGCAGAACAGCTAGACTCCACCGGCAAGCCTCGGCTGAGTCCAGAACGAAGACTTCTGCAAGTTTTGACTGTCGCGATGGTTTACGCTCTCACAACTCGGACACTCCAGGCGAGGTTCATCCGGCGCGGTCTGTGGTTTAGGGTCTCCGTTCATTCAAGACATATGGCACGACACACGGATGTACGTGGTGTTCGCAATGCTGTAGCCGGCCCTAGGATTCGGAGGGTATCTCCCAGATTTGGCAGGTTGCTGAAAAGACCCTAGCCCACCTGCTCCTTTGTGATCGCAGCCTGCACGAGGCCATCTCCTGTGCCCGCAAGAGCCATTTCTTGGGTTGAGGGCTTGCTTTTTCAGGATGAGTCTCTTGAAAACAGCTCGGGGCGGTGATACTGGTACTGGTGTTGACGCATATGGCGGCGAGACAGGGAGTGTGTGGCCAGCTCTAATCATCTTCATCATCATCATCGTCATCATCATTCACCACGGTATTTGACATGTATATATATATATATATGCATGTATATAAATATGTACATATAGATACAAATATACACATTGTCAGCACTGTATTCACCAAGGCGTTCGTTGAAACCGCCGTAGTCCATATCATTGTTTTCATCACCAATATCTCATACTACTAGGATCAAGAGGCCGCATGGTGCCACTAACTGATGTACCCCATAGACGAAGGCGACTGTTCTGCAGTCTGGTGAGTTCATAATCAATACCCGGTGGATGCGCAAAGGATGTAGGCATGGTCGGCAGCATCGGCAGCAGCGTCAATAGCATAATCTGCAGGCTGACCCTGTGGCTACAAAGTTGTAACAGCACGCCCACTGACAAAACCAGTAACAGCAGAAAGCATCAAAGGCAAGTAGACGTTGTGGTGCCAATGAGAAGACGATGAACTTCAGTCAAAGACGAGAGTACTGCCGTAGCGACAGACGTGATTCAGTCACATATTATATTACACTACACTATACCATACCATACCGTACTAAACTATACCATAGACCTGTATTATGACCCAAAACGTTCTCTCCTAAACTGCGAGGATCGCCTGTTCACCAGACAGCTTCTCTTTGTCCTCAAATTCTAGAGCGTGACCCTGCAGTGCCCGAAAGCTCCACGTGCGCTAAAACCCCGGAGACAGAACCCTTCATGAGCTTGAATACCCTCTTCGAATCCTGGAACCCTGCAAACCCTTCTTGGAAGCTCCGACTGGGCCTCGGGTGGACCGGACGCTCGAACTATTGTATGCCATGTCGTAGGACGGGTGGATCTCCCTCTTGCAAACCCGGAGGTAGATGAAGGAGCCAAGGGTTATGACGACAAGCACCTCGAAGATCAGTTCTTTCGTGTCTCTAGAGTCAGGATTCTTCGGGTAGCGTTCCTATTCTGTGGCTGGATGAGGAGCAACAACGATAAGGAGCAGATTCGTGCGATTGTCACAGAGGCATGCTGAAGTGCTGCCGCAGGTACTATAAGGCCGGCAATGGAAACGCGCATGATGGTGGCGAACAAGTCATTGTTCCCATACTGCTCCCAATAGTTGTCCAGGGAGTCCACGCAATTAAACGTTGTGTCGTATTCACCTCAGAGCACGTGCGGACAGTCCGATCAGCCTCGAAGCAGCACTAGAGGACCCCAGGCACTCGTAGCCTTTGAGATCGCCCCCCCTTTTGACAGGAAGCCCAACCCGCTTGTTCGAGGAGGAGGAGGAGCCTTTGCCAGGTAGAACCTCCTCTGCTCAAAACTGCAAACACCAAACGCAACCAACCTCCGATTTCCAAAGAATTCTTCGGTTGTCCCAATGCATTCCCGACGCATCCCAATCGATCTCCAGTGTTCTTCGGTGCTTAGGACAATTGCGTTTCAACCCCTTCGGGTACATGATCTTAGGAAGTCATCACCCAAGCCTTCAGAAAGGGCCCAGAAGCTCTGTTCCTCAGACCTCTCTAGAAACTGCGAAGCCCCGAAGCCCTGCGTCCCTGAAAGCTCGGAGCCTGAAGGCAATGAGGCCTGGGAAGCACTGGGCGCCCGGCCATCGCCTGGATTGTAAAGCAAACCCCAAACCTGGGTGCAAGGCTTTGAGGAATGCTTGTATCCAAAACATCGAAGGAATCGAGGAGAGGACGAGGATCCTCAATTTCAGGGCCAACAGCTCGGCCAGTAACCCCTTTGTGCCAGCCCTATGCCTCGAGACGTGCCCCCCCCCTCCCCCGTGCGAGCTTCAAGCTCGAGGGCTCCTGGGCTCCTGCATCCTTCACAGAACAAGGCTCCACACTCCTAGGAGGCGACTCTTGCTCGGACTTCCTTTCAGGAACTTCGAGGTGTCAGATCTTTAGACTGCTGGGGTTCTCCACGCAAGTTCGCACCGTGGCTCAGAGGTATAGAGAGAGTGTCAAATCTGCCAAGTCGTTCTGCCCGGCCACGGATTGTGTTTCGGTGCTGCCACACTGACTCGGCAGCCGTACTGGATGGAGTGATTGCCCCGTGCCTGCAGCAAACGTCCAACACCTTTGCATGGATCTCCTAAGCCTGCACTGAAAGCCCTGAAGCTCTGCATCGCAAGGGGTAGCATGGCTCAGCACTGAATCCATGTCTCTGGTGCCAAGTAGAAACCAAAATGACCCCTGTCACAACTAAACCCGCTCGAAAGCGCCTGCGTAGCAGTCCTGGCAATTCTCACCTCAGCTCGACTTCACCAAGCTTTAATAGAGAATGCCGAGGGGCTAAAAGCCTGCAAGATTTCCAGCCACACCTAGATTTAATTGGGGGGGGATCCTCTGCAGCCGAGGTTGCTACAGCCGCTGTAGATGTGCAGATAGCCTTGGGCACTAGGCTCGAACTGCATGTTCTGGACGGTGAGAAGCACATAGTCCTTGGCAGCAGCGACAGGTCACGAGGAAGCTCATCATTTTCCTATCTAGCATGGGTCATGAAAGCTTTGAAACAGCAAAGCCGACACCTTCGTTTCCAAAGCTTCGGCCGGTTCCTACGACAAGTGCTGCTACACATTCAAAGGCAAACAGCGTGTCACACCTGCTTTCTTGGACAATGCGGGTCTGCGACCTATCTCGAGAGCTGACTTGACTCAGCACAATGCTGCTTCCAAGATGCACCTCCCTTGCTCTCGCGAGCTGGGTAGAAAATATCCCTGCCAGCATCCCGGTCCGTAATGTTTCCTCGGCAGCAAACAGAGACGGAAATGAGCACGTGCGAAGCACGACCCCTCCTGACACCTCACTTCAATCACACCCACACTATTTCCGGCTCGAGCTGCAATGCAGGCATAGTCTACAACATTTCGAGCGCGGGGAGCTGCTGCGAGTTTATGGAAGTTCGGTGGTGCCCCATGGAAGTACAGAATGGACAAACCACAGTGTCGCAGTGCCATTCAGCGTTGTCATCACTTGACGAGAGGAGCTTGCAAAGACATGCCCGAACTACACCCACACACCGCTCCTTAGAATCACCAGCAAGTGGGCAGGACACTTCTGTACTCAGTAGCTTGTACACCACTTCTTTATTCAGTTGCAGCCACTGCAGTCCACTACCATAGGGCGCGACGCAGGCACCCAACTACGAGAGTCCAAACTAGTTCAACCAAACATGAAATTCTACGAATGACCATTTATGCCCCAAGTTCAGAACGCACACCCTGCAAGCTACACCGGGGTCAGGACAACCACTACAAGCAGCACTCAGACCAGCTTCGATGTTTCCACTGCACCGCAAGCTGTCAAGTGTCGTTTGCCAAAGAGCTCATCTTGTTCGCAAGCTAGGAATCAAGCATACATTACACGATGAAGCGCTTTGATCACGCAGAACATAGTGGCACACAACGCCACAAGATCAGACAACTCCACATAATGCAAGACGTTGCAAACAGTCATCCCAGCTTCCTATCTTACAAACTTCCTCGTTTGCGATCTCCGAGGTTGCGCTTGCAATTTTGACCAGTGCTCCCATTTCCCACGGCCCAGCTGTCCCCGTTCTCTGGGACGTTTGAAAGGTTGAACCCGGTAGGCGAAGCAGTTGAAAGCCAGGATGTGCAAAAATTTCAGTACACGCATGCAGCTCAGAAGAACAATGCAGAGTGACAAGCGCAATAGCCATAAGAGTTGAATGGATAGTAGCATTACTGTGTTCACTGACTTGCAAATTGGCCGATCATGCGTTGACAACGAAGAAGGACCGACTAGGGAAAAATAGCTAGGACCAGCAGCACGACACACAAGCGTGCTTCTGCCAATAAAAGCAGTCATGGTCGTGCGTGTCACTGCCATCACCGCACCGGTAGCCCGAAACCCAAGGCAGCAAAGAATATCCTCGTCCAAGCCCTGCCAAGATTCGAGTCCATGGCACCCTCATCGATTCGGGCAGTTTCACGCATTGGTTGAGGTAAAGGTTGACACAAACCTGAGCGAAGGCTTGGCTAGACTTCCAAGGTGGGCTCATTCTGTCACGATTGTTTGCCAGCTTCGCAAGGACAAGCCCGCATTGCTTGTTTGACCCAAAGTCGGCACTGTTGTCTGCTATTATTACTGTTGGGCAAGGGGTTGGCAGTCACGAGCATCGCGACGAGTATTATCAGCGCAAGCACGCTCATCATGGATCTGCTGACGACTCATGGTGGGGCTAATAGTCTAACTGAGACGGGATACAGGCATGATCATCAGCCGTCTTTTTGCTCAGAGATCTATGGGGTCCATACCGCCAAGATCCCGAATTACTCTAGCCTTCGGCCCCACACAAGCGGATGTCATCCGATCCGAACTTGCAACTACCCAGCGAAGCCACGGGAGGGCCTCACAAGCCATAACAAGTGTTGCTACCGTGCAAGGCTTGATAGAGCAACGGCCGAAGAGTGCTGTTGGGCCTGACAGGCAGGGGCCCCGAATCTTCAGTCTTGACTCAAAAGGATGATGGCAAGCCTTCAGGGATTCAGGTAGAGAATAATCCTTCCTTTGCAGATCTACGGCTACCAATGCTACAGCCACTCAAGGACGGCCCGTCAAGCCTCCTTAATGCAAGCTGCTGCAGGAAAGTCTTGGCAAACATCGACGGATGATTCGGGCCAATTGGAAGTCATAGCGAATCGTTCATGATATCCGTACCATCCTTGGTCCATGGCAGCAACAGGTTTGGCTCGGAGTGTAGCGATCAAGGTAAGGAACAGCAAGTCTGAGGCAGGCAGAACCTTATGTCGTTGTGCCAAATGCAAGAGAGCTGCGGTATGTCACATAGTCAATAGCCCAAGCACCTCGGCCGAAGGGACGGAAACACGTTGCTCAAATTTTCGCGCGGAACTTTCTCGAGGCTGAAGTGAGCTTCGGCATCCGCCAGCCCACTAACGAGCTTCAAGTCCTTGCAGCGGCAAATCTTAGATCTTTGTGTAGCCGAGGCGCAGCGCAGACACAGGATGCACAGCCATCTCGAACTACGAAGTGTCAATGCCATGGTCGAGCCACACAGCTGCATGTGGAGCACCACCGAGTGTGCAACGAGAGCTGGGCTTTGAAGTGCTGCTGCTTGCGGCTTGGGGCTTACAGGATTGAATTGAGGGTTTACAGTTCAGGGTTTCCACTCTCACGTGGAAGAGTGGGTTTTACAACTTAGCCTGTGGCACCCTCTTCCATCACCTCGAAACCCTGGACAAGTTCTGCCGGGAAACGCAGTGCAGTATATTGTACTATCCCAGTCTGATCGGCCCTAGACACCTAGAAACTCTCTGGGGCAAATGACCATCCGAGCAGTAGTCATCAGTATCATCGTCATGCTCAATCAAGGGCAGACTGCTTGGTTGGCTTTCTGCACGCCACTTCTGAAGACATCTGAAGACACGGTTCTTGATACGTGACATGGGAGCTAAGAAAAAAACACAGGGCCCTACCCTACCTTAAAGAACCTTAGAAAAACCAGGAGACTTATCACAAGGACCCCATGAAAAGGCATCCCCTTATCTAACTCCCATGTGTCCAGGAAGGCTCCAAACGAACACGCAGGGGGTCATGCCTCTTCCATACGGGTCATGTTGAATCCTGAGTTGCGCCGGGGAGTGACTAGGACACAGCGCTTGTGATCGCAGAGCACAAAGGTCCCTCAAACTGCAACTCGACCCCAAATGTCCTAGACTCCTCAATCACCACTATAGGCGTTACCCCCTAGCCATAGGCCTTCGAGGCTTGCGGGCTGAGTGATTTTGGGTATCTGGATGGAGGACATCAGGAGGCGAGGCGAAAACGGCATGGAAAGCCCGCCGTCACAGAAAAGCAGTAACCACCAGCACTACGTCCGACTCAGAAAACCTGGAGCCCGTGCAAGAGCGGGGGCCTGGCGGAGGACACAGGGCCGTATTTGAGAAAGGCTTGAGCCGACTGGCCGGTGGTGAGCATGGACAGTCAGGAGTGCCAAGTCAGACAGTATGCGCCATGAAGTCAGAGTTTGACCTCACAATCTGATAACCCACCGTGGCTTATGAGTGGTCGTGCATGCTAGACGTTAAGCTCCAAGGTGATTAGATCCGCACCCACTCGATCACTTGCATGACTTGTACCTCGAAGCCCTGGCATGTCGGGAAGAAGTCACTTTCTGTTCGCTGGACGAAGATGACGAAATCGGCGCATCCCAAAACTCCCTAGCGAGGGGTGTGGGAAGGACCCGTCGAAAAAACCCTCAGAACCCATTAGCCTGCTGCCATCCGCAGCCAGTGGCCATGAAGGAGTATAACATGCGAGCAGAGAGCAAGAAAAGCCGGCACAACAAGGGCAACGACGACACCACCACCACCACCA